CTGCTTGAGAGGCTGCCCTGATCTCCAATGCCATAGGAGCACAATACTTAGCACATGTCATAAGAGCATAGGGTTAGCCATAATATTTAAGGAAAGTAGCTACTGCACTTGAGCTTCTTCTGATCTTGGTTATGAAATGTCACTGTATTGAAGCCTTGGATTCTAACTGAATATCACCTCTATGCTGCTACTCATAAGCTTCAAGGATCTCCCTATCCACGTCGAATTCTTCCGCTGGTATACATAAGTGAGAACAAGTGTTCATTGAAGTTAACTGACAACGAGAATGGTAAATAACGTATAAGATGATTGTTTACTCTGTCTATAAAAAAGATGACCATCTGCTCATTACCTGTGCTACACCGAAGCATAGGTTTTTTTATGTGTGTATGTAGGTCTGCTGAATCAGAGTGACTGTAAAGGTGAACCTTAATGAAACTATTTTTGTAATATCCTGTGAAAATGTGCAAGTAGCTGTGGCTGCAACCTGTTTTCTGTTGACTGCAATTTTCCTGACTTTCAAACTCTAATCTATAAATAGAACATATTATTAATATAGATGTTACATCTTATTTTGTGCTATCTTCTAATTTGCATAGAGAGTCTAGGTAAGTTATTATTAGGATGTCATACATAGTGCATTCGCTTAAAATGGTCCAGACCCTGAAACAAGAGTGATTAAAATATCCCAGCTAGAAGCAGTGTTTTCACTCTATTCTTGGCTTGATATGCTCCTATTAATATCAATAACTGGATGCCTGATTTTAGGATTTTCCAAAAGCAGCGAAATAACAATTAAAGGTAAGTCTTCGCCAGGATCCAAACAACAACTCATAAGGCCTAGCTGACTGCTCATGACAGTTATGCAGTTAAGGGTTTAATGCTAAATATTCATCAACTTGGGATTCCTACGTCGCATGGCAAAGCACCCAAACTCATTCTGACTTTATGCTTGATAAGTTGGTTGGTAATTTCTCCGTCCTAAAAAAATGCAATTCTACCTGCATCTCTAGTCAGACTAACTAATGTTTAACTAAATTTATAGAAAAAATATCAATATTTATGACAAACAGACCTTTACAAAAATAGAAAGCAAATCAATTTGTGGAGCACATTCGTAGGACGACACTAAAATGCTAGCGAAACTTATAGAAAGACAGGTTACCGGTGCTTAATTGCTCTCAAACTTCAACCTCGCAGAATATAAAAGGACATACTCAGTGTCAAAAACCACAGAGTTCAACATATATTTAGAAATATATTTTATAGACTGGCTATCCATTTGCTTCCTATGCAATAATAACCATAGACAAGATTGTAATTAACAACAAAAAAGAGTTGGCAGGAAACATGGTTCGTGCTTTCAGTTCTAGACCTTCTTAACACCAAGCAACATTTAACCCAATTAGCCAATATTGTTAATAAAATTTTCATTTTGTTGGCATACACTTAACCCAACATGCTTATATGCAACACATCGGTTGGTTGTGACAAGAAAAAAAAATATGAACACGGTAAGGTAGCTATCAGTTGAGAGCATATAGAGAAGAAAGACTGGGACCTAAATACTTTCTAATAAAATCCAATTTTAAAGAATGCGTAAAGTAATCAGGCGTTGGACCTGAACACTTTCATATGAAAAGTCAAGCAGCCTAACATTCATTTATGATAAGTATTTTAAAATATGACTTTCATATAAGGTTAGGACCAATCATACATTTACCAATAGACCGCTGCATCAGATTGCTCTAGGTACCATTCCTTCCCCTCTTGCTTTTTATCTGCCCAACAATCATTTCATGAAGAAATTAAAAAGAGTGTGTCAATGAAACATAGATTCAAGGAGCAATATGATAGAATATATGATGGGAGGAACCGAACTGTGATTATTGTAGGATGAGAGCACATTAGGTACTGAAATTATCGTAGTAGTTTGCACGCGCCCATGCGCGCCGAACAGAAAGCCAGATTTCTAAACCATGTGAGACGTTTAAATACTACATATATATTACATGAGACATACATAAGCCAAATTTCTAAACCGGTATGCAAGGTGTCCAAATAGTACATATATCTTGAGGCAGTCATAGGAAAGGAAGCCAAGGAGTCGTAAGGTCAATTAACCACAATTAACCAGAATTTGCCACAAAACAGAGTAAGGAACATAAGGTCAATCCTAAAAGCAGAATCTCTAGATTGAATGCTGAGATGCTTAGTAAAGAAATACGTACCTAAGGAGGCAGTCATCCGTCCGAACAAGGTACCATGAGCCCATGGCTCCTTCCATTCCTGCAATTGAAATGGTCGTATCAGTTAGTGCTGAAAGTTAAAATATGCATCTCAAAAACAAAGTTTACGGTGGTCATTCTTATCAAAGACAACCCAACATGGCAACAGCCTAAAAATGCTAATCTACTAAACTGAAAGTGAGTGTCTTGCATTAACCGACACATTTTTTAGCCTCGTAAAAGAACTAAAAGTCAACTCTGAATATTTATGTTAAAAAGTGAGCCGTATACATGCTAGGAATCCGAAGTGCATGGCCTCTACATGAACATCTTTTCCTACGGAGTAAAATGGAGAAAGTAGATAAATGAACATTTTTTCCAAAGTGGCAAACACCAAATGCTGTTGATCCCTTTTTTAACCAATTAATTTCTTTAGCCATTAGAATTGACGAAGGTGGTCATGAATATACATTGGCGTGAAGCATCCATGAACATTTAGATCAAGATGATTCGAACCTATAATGACCAACAATTGTAAGTAATCGATGGAAAATACACATGACCGAGACACCACATGGCAAATCTAAGCGAACAAGACACACGAAACAACTAAAAACAAAGGATGTACGGGTCATCTCGATTCTACTTGGTATGCACGAATCGATTTCTTGATAGAACCCCTTCTCTTCCTTGACCACCTTGCATCACAAAGACACCGAGGAACAAGCATCATCAATCGACAAAGGGAAACAAGAAAGCACAAAATCCTCATGAACACGAAGCTAAGAGAGGCATAGAGGAAATATGCTCCATCCGTCTCTAGGTTTTGGATCGGGCATGGCCCCTCAATCTCCAACCAGTGGCGATGAAATCGAAATGAAGAAAAAAAGCGGAAAGCACAAAGGACCACAGACGAGAGCACGAATAGATGCATCGAGAAAGAAAATGTGGTCCGACCTCGCAGGAATCCCGCATGCTGGATCCAGGTGGTATTGTTGGGAGGGACCGAGATCGTGCTGCACCCGCCCGCGCCCTCGATCGGGTCATTTGCCTTCCACTCCCGTCGCTCCATCGGTGGCCCCATCCAAGATGCCTCGCCCTTGGTCAAGACTCTCACGGAGAGACTCGCCGCCATGCTCGCCCCTACACCTTCCTCCTCGGTGGGGCACGCGTGGATTGCAGGGCGGAGCTTGGGATCTAGCCTCGACGGAGGGAGTGGACGAAGCACGAGCCTGAGAGAGGACTGGGAGATCTGAGCTTCACCGGAGCTAAAAAGAATGAGAGCGAGAGAGGGAAGAGAGACGGTAGTCTACCTCGCCGTCGGCGCTTAGATCCACTGCTGCCTATGCCAGCGCTGTAGCGCCGGGCCGCCCGTGACCAGGGCCCATCCGCGCCATTGCGCCGCCACGTCGGGGCCGCAGGCCTTGGCAGCCGAGTTCCCACTGTCTTTGAGACCGTCATCTTTGGGTGCTGCCAGGTGCGGGGCGCTTCGCCTGCACCCTCACCTGTCTTCGCTGCGAGAGAGGGAAGAGGAGGAGCGGTGGAGGCACGTGAGAGAGAGTGGGAGGAGTCGTGAGCAGAGTGGAGACCGGAGAGAGGGGGAAAGCGCGGCAGACAGGGCTGATATTTTCTTTCCCGCACGCCCGCGCCAGGGCGTTGAGAAGCGCTCGTCGTGCAGAAGTGTCTCCGGCAAATGACCGCTTGACAAGGAAGCGCCCGACAGGGACCGCGGCTGGCCATTTCTCGCTTTCGACGGCAAGACCAAAGACCTGATGGGGCCCGCCTATTTCGTGCCAACAATGGCCAATGCGAGAGAGAGGAGGAGGTGAAGCGAGCAGGCTCACTTTGGCCCGCCGCCGTCGCAAATCCCTGCTCAACGAAAAGCACCACCGATCATCGAATCCAAGCTGCTGGAAGTCGATTCATCGACGTGGCCACACCGGCCGCGGACTCTCGATGTTCTCGTCTTTAGAAAGAGGGCGGAGGATGGCCACAGCGCTCGATCTAAGGATGGCAGCAGGTCGGGTTCGGATCGGTGGAGTCTCCGTGCACCCAAAATCGAAACCCGAATCCGCCCAAAACCGATTGGGTGTGGAAATCCATCACCAAAACCAAACCCGCGGATACCGAAACCCGAGCGGATACCCGAAACCCGAATGGATACCCGAAACCCGCGGATATATATACACATATTCACATGTATAAACAAGAGGCAACAAATAATAAATATTTTCATAAGTCAACTTTAAATAAATTTAATAATCTAAGTAAATAAATTATTATTAGTATATTATAAAATATGAGTTTTAATTCCAAATGATTTATTTCGGATATCCATTAGATATCCATGGGTGGAAAACAAAACCCGAAACCGAACCCGATTGGTTTCGGGCCCCAAACCCAAAAACCGTGGGTGAAAAACCATCCCCAAACCCGAACCGCAGAACCCGAAACCCGCGGATATACCCGATCCGTCGCCATCCTTAGCTCAGTCGTCGTACTCCCCGAGACGCCGCATTGGATGCTCCCTCGACCTGTCTACCCCCGCTGGAATCCTCCAAACAACATTCTCTGCTTCTTGGTTCGCCGCCCTCCCGCAATCTCTAGTTCTGGGCGTCGCTGGAGCAAGGCATTTCTTAGTTCTCCTGAGATGGGTCTGAGAAAGAAAAGCGCCATGGTTCGTGAGGCAGCCGGGTTCTCTACATCTTGGTAGCCTTCGGCATTGGTATCCATCCTCGTTCTTGAAGTGCAGACTGGGGGATTGACTCAACCATGAGGAAGCACGGGTGGCAACTGCCTTACCACCCTCTCCAGGTATAATCCACTCACCACTCACCAGCGCGGGGCTCTGCGTTCGGCTTTCCCTTCTCGCAGTGTTCTTGCTGTTCCTAGCATTTGCCTCACTCACATAGTGTTCCGCAACTGACTGGCTGACGGACGGACTGCAGGTGGTTGCGATAGCCGTGTTCTCGGCACTGGGCTTCGCCTTCTATGTCTTCTTCGTGCCGTTCGTGGGGACGAAGCCGTTCCAGATTGCGGCCATGGCTATCTACACTCCATTGGTGAGGTTCCTGCCCTTTTCAGGGGTTAAATTCGCTAGTATGCATAGATCTGGAGTTGGGTGTTTGTTTCGCTGCCAGCCCTCCCGTGCTTTACAGTTCTTGGTACTTACTCCATCAGGCCTTACAAGTTCAGGCACTGGTAGAGAAAGCCATCTGCTTTGCATGTGTTGCGCATATCTGCTGTAAAGGAATGATGATATGGCATCCGTTAGACTATATAGTATAATTACTCACTTGAGTGATTGAACAATTTTACCTAGAGAATGATTAATGTCTTCTTTTGTAGATTACTTGTGTTGTTGTGTTATACATATGGTGTGCAGCAACAAATCCTGGAGACCCGGGCATTTTCGATTCAACGAAGAATTTGAAGTTACATAAGCATGAAAAGCACTCGTATGTAAATTCGGATCAGGGAATTAATCATGGAGGAAGGCCATTAAGTGAGACTTTTGGTACTGCTGATAACAGTGAGAAGCTGAGCAGCATGCTTGAGAGGAAGGATTCGCCTTCTTGGCCCAGATTTTCTGGAATTCTTTCCCTGGTTTGTCTCCCATTCTCTTGCCTTTGCAAACGATGCCTCCATTCAGACAGTCAACCTTCAGAACAGAAAATGTGTGAAGAAGGCATGTTTTTCTGCAGCTTATGCGAAGCAGAGGTATTGTTATGGAGTCCTTTTCCTATTCCTTGTACTGCACTCATGTACTCTATATTACCCTTGGGGGCTATTCAATACAAACAAATGCTATTGATAACATGGTATCAGATTAGTTTTTTTTTTTTTGTCGAGGGTTCTATCTCCTAGCTGTTGCTTATATTCATGCGTTGCGCTTGAATACTCATACCTGAACATACTGTCCTGTTTCTTAAAGCTATACTGGTCTGCAAGCTTAGTTTTTAAGGTCACCTAAAAACTATGCAGACAATTTAGTAAAAACTTGCACAGTGAGTTTTACATCTTTCAGCATTTTATGCTTTAGCTTGGCATGTGCTTATGTAGTTCATGTTTGTACTTCAAATTTTTTCTAATATTCAGTATGCTGATCAGTAATCAATAGATCTTTGACAAACTAACTAATCTGTGGATGTATGAACTTATGAGGGCAACCCATGAAATTCAGGGGTACTGTAGCAAAATATACTGAATTCAGATAAGCAGGATGTCTGTCATGTGGGGGCGCACGTATAGCCGGCGCCAGCGAACCCGCGACGTGCGCAGAGCCGCGGAACGCGCAGCGCGCGTGGAAGGATAGGATAGTTTCGTATTTTCAGTTTGCTATTTTCAGTCCTTAATTCTAGGAGCAATTGGCTCAGATTTGGTTTAGGCCTTGGCCATATATATGCATGTATCTGAACTCGGGAAAGGAAGCAAGATTATTATCCCATCTAATCTCTCTCTCTCTCTCAGCGGAGCCCTCGGCAGAGAGGGCAAAACCTCATGGGAGAAGGCGGACCGAGGCTACGATCTCCCGTGGCCGAGGGGCCCTACACCTAGGGCTCAACGCCCTTGACAACCTGGTATCACGGTCCCGGCGATCCTCGCCGTCTTGCTCCACCTCGCCGACCCCAGCTGCCGCGCCAGCCACCACCACGTCCCCATCCACCACGTCCTTCTGCATCCACGCCATGGGTGATCAGGGCGACCTCAAGACCACCGTGGTGTCGCTCATCGCCGCGCCAAATCAAAGCCCGCAGGCCACCGCAGAGGCCAACGCCAAGGCAATCGCCGCCTTGTCCTCCGATCGTCCGTCCTCCTCGGGCGGGCGGCGAGTACGCCACTTGGCATGAGCACCACTCCGACCGGCCGCCGCGTTTCCAGAAGATGGACTTCCCGCGGTATGACGGCAAGTCCGATCCGCTAATCTTCATCAATCGATGCGAGTCGTATTTCCATCAGCAGAGGATCATGGAAGAGAAGGTTTGGATGGCGTCCTATAACCTGGAGGAGGGAGCCCAGCTGTGGTACATCCAAGTTCAGATGGACGAGGGTACTCCCTCCTGGCGCCGCTTCACCGAACTCCTCCACTTGCGCTACGGTCCGCCCGCTCGCGATCTGCACCATTATTCGAGCTCGCCATTGCCGATGTACGAAAGCACCAAATCAGCGAAAGTACCGGATCGCTTCAAAGCGCTCGGCACGCTGGGTCCTCTGGAGGAGTCGCGGTGAGGTCTGACTCTTCACTGGGGGTCTTCTACCGCCGCTTAGCATCGACGTCCGCATCCAGAACCCCCAGTCGCTGGCGGCCGCCATGAGCTTGGCACGACAACTCGAGCTGCGGGAGCAGTACATGCCGGCACCAACCAAGGCCACAACCCGAGGCCTATTGCCTGCTCCAGCTCCATGTGTCTCCCTCCCGGCTCCCCCGGTGGACAAGGCTGCAGCGCCCCCGGTCACGGTGGAGGGCCGCCCGGTGAAGCGTCTATCCCAGGCGGAGCAGGAGGAGCGCCGCCGCCTAGGCCTCTGCTACAACTGCGACGAGAAGTACACACGGGGGCATAACCGCGTCTGCAGACGGCTCTTCTACATCGACGGCGTGGAACTCACCGACAACGACGACGCAGCGGCGAACGAGGGGCCGGACACAGAGACACCGGTCTTCTCCCTGCATGCGGTCGCCGGTGTGCCGATCTGCGACACGATGCAAATCAGCGTGTCGTTAGGCGCCACCACTCTCGTTGCGCTCCTAGACACCGGTTCGACCCACAACTTCATCGCCGAGGCCGCAGCTCTTCGTACCGGGTTGGCCGTCCAACCACGACCGCGCCTCACGGCAACCGTGGCCAACGGCGAGAAGGTCACTTGCCCCGGCGTTCTTCGGCAAGCCCCGATCACCATTGACGACAACGAGTTCCGCGTCGACCTTTTTGTCATGCCACTTGCAGGGTACGATTTGGTTCTGGGAACGCAGTGGATGGCCACTCTCGGACCAATCACCTGGGACTTCACCGCGCGCACCATGTCGTTCAAACGACACGGCCGCGAGGTCTGCTGGTCGGGCGTGGCCGTGCCCAGTGCGCCGGGCATCTCCGCTGCAGCAGCCAGCGACTCCCTCCTCGACGAGCTGCTGGCTTCCTTCGAGGACGTTTTCGCTGAGCCCAAGGGGCTGCCGCCCAAGCGTGCCCGCGACCACAGCATCGTCCTCAAGCCGGGCGCGCCACCGGTGGCAGTTCGCCCGTACTGGCACCCGGCGACCCACAAAGATGAACTTGAGCGGCAGTGCGCCGCCATGATCGAACAAGGCATTGTCCGCCACAGCGACTCGGCGTTCTCGTCGCCGGTCCTCCTAGTCAAGAAAGCGGATGGCTCATGGCGGTTCTGCGTCGACTATCGCGCTCTGAACGCGCTCACCGTCAAGGACGCGTTCCCCATTCTCGTCATCGACGAACTCCTTGACGAGCTCCATGGCGCGCGGTTCTTCACCAAGTTGGATTTGCGGTCAGGGTACCATCAGGTACAGATGCGGCCGGAAGATGTACACAAGACCGCGTTCCGCACCCACGACGGTCTCTATGAGTTCTTGGTGATGCCGTTCGGGTTGTGCAACGCCCCGGCGACGTTCCAAGCCCTCATGAACGACGTCCTCCGGCCCTTCCTCTGTCGCTTTGTACTTGTCTTCTTTGACGATATTTTGATCTATAGCAAGACATGGGCGGATCACTTGCGCCACCTCCGCGTCGTCCTCTCTGAGCTCCGGCGGCACCAGCTCTTTGTCAAGCGTGCCAAGTGCGTCTTCGGTGCCGTTTCTGTCACCTACCTGGGCCACGTCATATCAGCGGCGGGCGTCGCCATGGACCCGGCCAAGGTGCAGGCCATCCACGACTGGCCGGTACCTCGCTCGGCACGAGCGGTGCCGGGTTTCCTCGGCTTGGCGGGGTACTACCGCAAATTCGTCCACAACTACGGCACCGTCGCCGCACCGCTGACGGCCCTCCTCAAGAAGGATGGCTTCTCCTAGATTGAGGCGGCGGCCGCGGCGTTCGACGCGCTCAAGACTGCGGTCACCTCAGCTCCGATCCTCGCCACGCCGGACTTCTCCAAGATGTTCGTCGTAGAATGTGACGCCTCGTCACACGGGTTCGGCGCGGTGCTCGTCCAGGACGGCCACCCGCTGGCTTTCTTCAGCCGGCCAGTCGCGCCTCGGCATCGTGCCCTCGCCGCTTACGAGCGAGAACTCATCGGCCTCGTCCACGCCATCCGGCACTGGCGACCGTACCTGTGGGGTCGCCGTTTCCTTGTCAAGACGGATCATTACAGTCTCAAGTATTTGTTGGATCAGCGGCTGGCCACAATCCCCCAACATCATTGGGTGGGGAAGCTTCTGGGCTTTGATTTCTCCGTTGAGTACAAGCCCGGAGCAGCGAACGCGGTGGCGGACGCTCTCTCTCGGCGCGACACGGCGGATGACGGGGCCATCCTGGTCCTCTCGGCTCCCCGCTTCGACTTCGTCACGCGTCTCCGCCAAGCACAGCTCTCCGACCCAGCCCTCGTCGCTCTTCAGGACGAAGTACGCGCGGGCTCCAGAGAAGCACCGTGGGCAATCGTCGACAACATGGTGCAGTTCGGCGGGCGCCTATACATTCCACCGGCGTCTCCTCTCGTGCAGGAGATCATGGCAGCCGTCCATGAGGACGGCCATGAAGGGGTCCAGCGCACGTTGCACCGTCTGCGGCGTGACTTTCACTTCCCTAACATGAAAAAGCTTGTGCAGGATTTTGTGCGTGCTTGCGCCACTTGTCAGCGCTACAAGTCGGAGCACTTACACCCGGCGGGTCTCCTCATGCCGCTGCCCGTGCCGCAGGGTGTCCGGACGGACATCGCCCATGATTTCGTCGAAGCTCTGCCGCGTGTCCGGGGCAAATCAGTCATACTGACAGTGGTGGACCGGTTCAGCAAGTACTACCATTTCATTCCCTTGGCACATCCGTACTCCGCTGAGACCGTCGCTCAAGCATTCTTCGCCGACATAGTTCGCCTACACGGCGTACCACAGTCCATGGTGTCCGATCGTGATCCAGTCTTCACCTCGCAGTTCTGGCGCGAGCTCATGCGCTTGGTGGGCACCAAGTTGCACATGACCACTGCTTTCCATCCCCAGTCGGATGGCCAGTCGGAGGCCGCCAACCGCGTCATCATCATGTACCTGCGCTGCCTCACTGGAGATCGGCCGCGACAATGGCTGCGGTGGCTGCCATGGGCGGAGTTCGTCTTCAAGACCGCCTACCAGACGTCATTGCGGGACACGCTGTTCCGCGTCGTCTACAGGCGCGATCCGCCATCCATTCGGTCTTATGAACCGGGGGACACGAGGGTGGCTGCCGTCGCCAAGAGCATGGAAGAACGTGAAGAGTTCCTTGCTGACATCCGCTACCGGCTGGAGCAGGCCCAGGCGGTCCAGAAGCTTCACTATGACAAAGCCCATCGCCAAGTCTCGTACCAGGTGGGCGACTGGGCGTTCCTCTGCCTCCGGCAGCGCGCGGCGTCGTCCATGGTTCAGGCCGCCCCTGGCAAGCTTAAACCTCGGTTCTACGGGCCCTACCGCGTCGTCGAGTTGATCAACGACGTCGCTGTCCGCCTCGCCCTGCCTCCTCGGGCTCGTCTTCACGACGTGTTCCACGTCGGCCTCCTCAAGAAGTTCCAGGGGCCGCCTCCGGATGCTCCGCCGCCTCTGCCTCATATTCATCATGGAGCCATTGCCCCGGAGCCGGAACGTGCAGTACGGACACGCCTGGCTCGTGGTGTGCGCCAGGTATTGATCCAGTGGAAAGGGGAGTCCACGGCGTCGGCGACTTGGGAGGACGTCGAGCCATGCGCCAAGTATCCTGCGTTCCAGCTCGAGGACGAGCTGCTCCTCGACGGGGGGAGAGATGTCATGTGGGGGCGCACGTATAGCCGGCGCCAGCGAACCCGCGACGTGCGCAGAGCCGCGGAACGCGCAGCGCGCGTGGAAGGATAGGATAGTTTCCTATTTTCAGTTTGTTATTTTCAGTCCTTAATTCTAGGAGCAATTGGCTCAGATTTGGTTTAGGCCTTGGCCATATATATGCATGTATCTGAACTCGGGAAAGGAAGCAAGATTATTATCCCATCTAATCTCTCTCTCTCTCTCTCTCAACAGAAGCCTACGGCAGAGGGGCAAAACCTCGCCGGAGAAGACGGACCGAGGCTACGATCTCCGTAGCCGAGGGCCAGCTACCCTAGGGCTCGACGCCCTTGACAATGTCTAGTGGTTTGAATCAAATAAAGTCATTTAGGCATTTTTCTAATTATGCTCCAAATTTCTGATTGAACGGTTATAGCCAAATGGAAAGTCACTCTTCTGATACTTTTGTGATCTTGATTAGTGTCTTCATTGTTTCTAACATCTTATGAAAAACTAGCATAATTCTTCGCCTTTTGATTTGGATGTCATTCCCAGGTTCTGAAGAACAGTAAGCATTGTAGAGTGTGCGACAAGTGTGTTGATGGATTCGACCATCACTGCAGAGTAAGATCTGTTTTTTGTTATGATTTCCCATGATACTAAAAAATATAATTCCTCACAAGAATTATGGTCTTATTTCCTCACAATTAATGGACTTGTTTTGTCTGCTGCCTCTGTTCTTTTGTAGTGGCTTAACAATTGCATAGGGAAAAGGAACTACAAAGGTTTCTTCGCTCTAATGGCTTCTGCAGTTATCCTGGTAAGTGTGGATCTATTGACAAATGACAAACTGACACAAATTGGAATGTAAAGACGACCCTTGTGTTATCGCATTTACCTTTAACATCTGCAACCAAGTGGGGGCTATGCATATAGTTAGCAATGTTGTTCGGCATCCTTCCTATTCTGGTAGGTTATTGACAGATCTCCATGGTTTGTACAACTTGATCCAGCTTGTGATGCAGTGGTTGTCGGGGGCACTTGTGTTGATTCTCTGTATTGTGAAGCGAGGAGAATTCTCTAGGCAGGTTGTCACAAAGTTGGGAAGCAGCTTCTCAACTGTGGCTTTTGTAATTGTTGTGGTGAGTTGAACAATTTTTCCTTCCTTTCATTATCGAATATGTGTCTGCTGCATTGAAGTTCATATAATTTGTTGGTAAACTAAAACAATTCTGCTATCTTTGAAAAAGGTTACAAGATTGGTAACAGGATGTTTAAATTTTTTGCAGGCAACCTGCACCATTTTAGCAATGGTTGCAACCGTGCCACTTGTCCAGCTTTATATGTTTTCATATTCTTCTTGTCAAAAGGTAAGTTGCTCTTGAGGTTCAATTGGGGACTCCTTGAATGACATCATACAATAGCAATAATAGACATGCTTGCAATTTTCATTTTTGGCCCATCTCTGTTATCTACTTTCCTGCTTCCTGAAATATGGACTGCTTGATCACTACTATTTTCTCGATCCACTACATGGCTATTGTTATGAAACTCAAATTAACTATCCCCTTAGTAAGAAACAAGAAGCACTCCTCCTTTGTCCCACTAATGATAGCACATGAGTCGATTGTTTTGGTCACATTTTCTGCTGAAATAAGTCAGTCACATACTACGAGTTAACTATAATTGGTTGGGGAGTTTTGCAAGAAAAGTAGAAACTTTGTGCATTTAAACTTTCTGTTCTTTTTTTCATACAACTTGAGGTTAAATTGCAATCCTGTTCATGTGTGTCCAGGGAATTAGCACATATGATTACATCATAGCTTTGAGGGAGCAGGAGGATCAACAAGAGGTTCCTGGACACCAAAGTCCACAGATGTCTATTATTAGTTCTGTTACTGGTTTTAGCACAGCCAGTTCTTTTGGACCTCTTCATCGTGGTTCATGGTGCACTCCACCAAGATTGTTCCTGGAAGACCAGGTATGAGATAATCACTCGTCTGTAAAAAATCTTATGCAGCCAAGGGGAATAAAGATCTTGGATAGCCAAAGACAACACGCTGTGATACATGACTGAATATGTCCGAATATTGCATGTATTGTTTTGTTAATTAGCTGAATATGTCCTCATTTGTGTTCTACATATAAAACCAACTGAAATCAAACTTCACTATATGTGAAAAAGACTTCTTGATAGTAACATCTGAAGTTTCAAGTGCTTGCATTTGTACGTGCTTCAAGTTATCATGCGTCATGATTAATGAAGTATGCTAAATTTGTTTTCAAACAAATAGTATAATTTTGTTGTGACAATTGGACAATAAATCAAGACTGTAGTTCCCCTTCTTCCATCTTTAGCAGTTGATACTTATTGCTTGCTCCCCTCTTTCACAGTTCGATGCCATTCCTCCAGAGGTCGGCATTTCACAGAATTCAGGCAGTAAGAAAACCAAGGAAGAGGAAGGAGCAAGGAGAAAAACTGGAGCAGTGAAAATCAGTCCATGGACATTGGCACGGCTAAATGCAGATGAAGTTTCGAAGGCAGCCGCGGAGGCAAGGAAGAAATCCAAAATCCTGAAACCAATTGCAAAACATGGCGCCCCAGACAATGGCAGTAAACCAGATCATATGCCCAGCTACAAGAGACGACTAGATAGAAGAGGTTTCCCTGCTGAGCTCTCTCTTGACCCACTTGCAACTCTATCTGCGAGCGGCACTGAAAGCAACTACAGCGACACAGCAACAGAAATTTGTGGCAGTTTAGCCCCATTACAGCTCGAAGCAAGAAGTGCTTTCCAACCTAGTACTGCAGCATCCACAAGAAATGTTGCTTCATCGCCTGAAAGTAGCTCTGACTCGCCTGATCTCCACCCCTTCCGCACTTCCTCAGCCACAGCTGATGAGATGCAGGGAGCCATGACACATTCAGCTCACAAGGGCATCGAGTTTAAAAGATCATCAAGCGATGGTTATGAAGCATCAGGAGGTGAAGATAGCGACCGCATCCCTTCAAGAATCGTGCACAGATCGTCAAACTGGGCTAATGTCTTTCTGAATTCTAGTCAGGGAGGCCCTCCAGCTGATCTGCTCACGACATCATCTGAAGGTTTTGTTGCTAACGCAAATGTCTTCCTGAATTCTGATTCCTAAAGCATTTCTGGGTATGGCAGAGCGATGTTGACAAGACATTGACTAGTCTCCAGGCTTAGGTTTAGGTGCTTAATTTGTCTAATTACATGTGGGTATTTGGACTAGTTCTAGGGGCCAAATCCATCCGATTACATGTTTGTGAAACTGCTTTCACTGCTGGAGTCGCTTCTTTGGCATTCCATTGTCGCCTTTGGCAAAATGTGAATTTGACGCCATTGTGCTTGTTGAGCTTGATCCAAATTACTGTTTGTCGAAATCTCATGGTGTGCCACTGCCGTCTGATCATGGTAAGCAGTGGAACTCGTATATATAGGTTTCTAACAGTGGAACTCGTATATATATAGGGTTCTAACAGTGGAACTCGTATATATAAGGTTCTAATTTGTTTTGAGAATCACTTGTTCCAGCGGCGGCACCGGAGCACAAAGACCGGTGTGAGCGGGTGATTGACCGCAAGGTGAGCCTGGAAGCAAAAACGATCTGTCCCGGGTTGCCGATCTGGAGCCCGAGCAAGAGAAGCCGGGCAAGAACAATGGTATCTGGTTCTTGGCACTTGGGCCAAGCCGCGAGTAGCGCAGCATCTCCAGAAACCAACTTCGGATGGATCAGATATGCACTCCACAATAGTCCAATACCCGTAGTTCATACCGCGAGGAGAGCGAGTTACGAAAGGAAAAGAATCAGCGGCGACGTGCTTCGATCGGAGGATGAACTAACAAAATATGAACACAGTTTTCAGGATTGTCACTGCTACAAGGCTCATGTTTGGGGTACATAGATCACGAGCCTTGAGTTGATTTGCTCAATTTACCCCCAGTCTGCCACATACTAGCTACTCCCTCCATTCCAAGTCTGTCTGGCTTTTATACAGCCTTCATATATTTAGGTGCATGTAGCAAAATCTATATAGCTAGAAAAGTTACAATTTAGAAAAGAGGAAAGTCTCTATCTAAGTTGTTTAACGAATGACTTACCTCATCTTCCATCTCCAAGACCATAAAATAAATGGCACTTTCTGTCTTATGATTTTTACAAAAACGTTTAGTTGTTTATTCTCCCTCACAAAAAATGTTGATTCTCATATGCAAATATACCAAATGAGATACATCAAACTAGCATGTTCAGTGACTCGTGTGGTATCTGAAGATTTTCTTAGTTATATTGTGAACCATTTAGATAAACCCCTTAAAAAATTGGAGGGTCTAGGAATCCTGTGTTGACCCACATGCATGAACTGCAATTTTGTGTTCAGAAATTCAGTCCACACGAAATATATAACTTATTATCCTATAAAAGAACATATTAGCTTTTTCTTTCAGAGACAATGCTCTCGACAAGCTGAAGAGTTTCTTCAACAGATCCATTTCATGGGTGACAGGGTGAGCCTGCATCCTGGTCTCAAAGGAATGGAGCTTTGGTTTGGCCAGTTTGGGGCTGTAATTTACAAGGAACAATCCTATTGGGAACTAAACAAAACATATATAAACATGAAGGATCAGACACCAGTATAACCAGTTTGCTACTGTCGTAAAAAACACAGGCTGCTAGTTGCTACACAGCAAATAATCATATATAGAGCAAAAGGTTGCTAGACCGGAACACGTTTTCCTCTGTAGCGGTCAAGGAACTGCAGACACAAGAGAAATTGGGCTTGTCAGAATGTGCAATGGGCCAAGCTTCTAGTCTCAGGAACCAAAGAAGAACATTATGTGTCGTGAGCTTCTTACCGATGTCACAAATGGTTGTTGGAAAATCCAGCCAATGATAGGAATCCTCTGCAAGAACACAGCAAGTGTTGGCCAGAACCCACTGCAATTGAATTGCAAGTCAGTGCTCAGGTACAAGCAACTTTTTTAAAGAAATGATGGTGGTTCGTTGAAAACGAATAACTATTTGAAGCACTGAATTTTTTTACTGTCTCAACAAGAAATTGCATATTACTAAAAGAGAAAGGATCAGTCGGTCACAAGAAAATTCTCCTACCTGAAGAGTACAATAAAACCATATGCCTCTAAGAGCATGCCAAAAAATGGCCACCCAATGAGAACCAGAAAAAAACCAGCACCAAATGAGATAGTACCCTGTTCATTAGAGCAGTTAATGAGAATAATGAGACATTAGACATGTTTAAGGGCAACAGCCCTAGCAAATACAGTGGTTGCAAAACCTTGTAATTCTTTGGCTTGGTGAAGAACTGCATAGTTGATTTCAGACCAATTGTCAAACCCAAACCTGACAGGAAAAGAATCTGAAATGGCATCAAGAGAAAAAGGCGAACCATACGCACAGTGAGTTAACTTAGATCCTCAAAAGATTCAAAAGCAAATTACAAAATGAAAGTTCACTTACATTGCCCATTGCGATGAGCCCCTTGTCAAAGAAGAATACGATTCCCAGAAAGGAGAAGAATATTCCAAAGCCTGTCAGGCCAAGCCCAATCTCTGTCCAAGATGAAATTCAGACGTCACAGATCAATGAGTTGGAAGAATAAACTGTAATATCTAAACCAGCGAATATGCTTCTACAACATCACACAAAAGATTTGCAAGCCAGAATTTTCATCACATTTCCAACATTGAACATGATCTTTTTAATACAGCCAAAACACTAAAGAGGTGGTATTTTAAGCTCGATGATTCTACCGAGATTCATTGAAAATTTGTATCAAAACCCAGACAAAACAAGAAGGTTTCAAAGTGGTTGAGTATCTGTTCCTTACAGTGGTCAATCAGAAACTAGCATAGACCTTGCAGCAGAAGCATATCTGATGCTGGTTTCAACTAAATCCAAGCATCTTTCAGAGATTCCACGGTCAGCCAGCAGCTCAGCACTGCAGTTAGTATTTGTGTAGTATGGCAATTGTGTAAGCCTAACCAACAAAAGATCTTAAACTTTAATCTTTGCTTTGCCTAAAAGCTTTATCCAGTTGGTACACTTGAGCCAGTATTTCCGTATTTTTGGACAAACTCAGTTGAGATTAGCCACAGTAACAAACTGCTATGATAATGGTTATCAAGGCGGTAAGGCGAGGTGTGGCGAGTGACTACTGCCTTACGCTTAAGCGAGTAAGGCGTAAGGCGAAGTGACGCCTTACCAACTAAAGGAAAATTTAAAACAGCAGCTCAGAGCAGTATATAGATGATAAAGAAAAAAGGAAAGGAAAAAAGAAAAGGAAAGGAGTAAGAAGTGGTCTGGCCCAGCCCACATGCACCAAGCAGCCCATGTGCCCCTCACCCTCATAGCCCTAGCGTGTCTTCATCTCTCTCCTGCGTCGCGCCGCCGCCGCAACTCTTTGTTTTGACTTCCACCTCCGCCCATCTCTCTTTCTCTTCCCTCCCGTTCCGCCTCCGCCCACCCCTGGAACAGAGGAGGCGGGATGCTGCAGGCCAGCGCCGATTGGGGGAAGACGGCCACGGCCCGTAGGCGGCCGCACCTTGCCGCGGCCCGCACAGGCGGCCGCACGGCTCGACAGCGGTTGCTCGGCAACTTCTCCCGTCGGCACAGGCGAGCTGCAGCTTCTGGTTCCCCTCCCGCTCTCCCGCTCACTGCTGTGGAATCTGCCGCGCGCCCGCTCTCTCCCTCCCTCTCACTGGTGTGGAATCTAAGGCGAGTCATCTGCTGTGGCGTCGTGTGTGCAGCGCCTTGGCGCTTTAAGCGACGCCTTGATACCCACCCTTGAAGAAAAAAAAGAAGTAGCAGTTTGTTACCTCTCTTGCACTTATAACACTAAAACTACCGATCAAGTGATATTGACATATTGTAGACCACACAGGCACACAGTACATGATATACCCTGCCACCCTGATGTATCGTGGTCAATTGTAACACAATTACGAAAAAATGCAGGTTAAGTTATACAGCACATTCCGCACAAGATATTACACTGATGGGTCAACACATTAAAACTACTGCTTACATGATATGAGGCACATATCACAGTTTATATGATTGAAAAATCACCAACTATCAGTTAAAAAAGTCACCAAACATGTTAGACACAGCAAACCTTAAAAAACAAAGTAACATCCCTGAGGATGACTTTCTCACATTCATCACATGTGACAGTGTGTCCACATTACAAATTGCAAACATGTTAGCTCGTTAAGTTCTGAATTATGAAGCAGAAACAAAGGAGGCCAAGCAAATAAGATACACATTCACTGCCCAGCACAACCTATCTATGCTCCTATCAGAAATAAATGGAACAAAAACTGGGAAGACAATTTAAAAAGAGTGGTGACAAGCCCATACTCTTGAGGTCATTCATCTCGAAGGAAACCATCTTGTCTTGCAATGACACCGCGGAGACCAGCACACAAGCCTGCAACAGCACAGGTTGTAAGATCAGGCACAATTTGTGCAGACGAGATAGAACCGAATACGGAAGTGCTAAGCAGAATAAAACCGATCTGAATAATTGTTGAAAAAAATACGTGCTGTAATTTAGATCAGATCTGAATAGGGTTCGGGTGCTCGGTTTCGCAGAGAAGGGAAGGAGTTAGGGTTCGGATGCTCGGTTTCGCACAGGAGGGAAGGGACGAGGAGGGGTGCGCATACCTGGTGGATGCTCGTCGCTGGCGAAGACCTGGGCACCTGGAGTTGGGCGGCGGCGGTTGCCCAGTTGCCGGGAGAGAGAGCACGCGGCGACGCCTGACGCGGGGGTTAAACGGGAGAAGAAAATGCAGGGCCGAAGTGGTGGGACGCAGATTCGGTGGCTCGCTCGCCTTCTCAGGTTACGCCGTGACTTTCCCTGTCAGGATGCCACATCCACCGTCCGAGCAACATCGAAGGGCTGCAGCCGTTTTGAGCCTAGGATTGCTTCTCTCTCGCAAAGACAGGCGCAACAACGTCCTGTGTGCGCTGCGCTGTCCCGGATGATAGGGAGGACCTCGGCGCCGCGGTGGCCGGAGACTCCGTCTCCGAGTGCTGCGGGCAGCACGCGAAAGCTGCCGCCGCACAGGACAAGAACGAGCCTGGCAGCGCCAAGAAGAAATAGGGGAAGAAGAATGTGGTGGTGGTGCACAAGACAAGAGAAGAGCGATTTAAGCGAGACCGTAGCGGCGTCGACAACAAGGATCCCTCTCAGTGAATGTTCCCAGTCAATCGTGCAGTGCAAAGGTTGCATCCACGACAACTGCAGACAGAAATGGATGCTCTTCGGCTTTTCTGTACTTTTGGGCGAAACCGAAATTGGAAGCATTGAGGCCTTGAGGGACGAAATGGTTGCTCTTCGTAGAGAGAGGTCAATCCTGATCAAAGCTGTGGAGTGCCAAACGACACATATTACCCAAGATGTGCTGATCGATCCTTCTCAAGCCGAAAGCACGCAAGCCTTAGGACAAGGTAAGGAGAGTGATGGACACGAAGCTGAGATGATCCTTTTTTTTTTACAACAAACAACTTTCATTAACAGCATCTAGCTGTAAGCACCGTTACAGAGTTGATGTTTACAAGCTGGATAGCCATGGAAAGCGGGCACTGTTCAACATGTGCCGGATTGGAACAGACACAGGATTGGTGCATGAGATTGGAATCTAAATCACTAAGTGCCTGTCTTGCTAGAAGATCAGAAGTCTGATTTTGGTTCCTGCCTATCTTGAGGATGGCTGTGCTTCTTTGATGTGTGGAGTTCATGATGATCTGGGTAAATGGCTTCATTCTCCAATCAGGGGGGTTGGAGAGATCAGAGCCATTTAGGAAGTGCACCAACTGTTGATTATCTGACAAGAAGGTTATATTGGTCAGCTGCAGATGGTGGGTGACTGATGCAGCCAGTGCAAGGGCAGCAGCCTCCGCCATTAGGACTGAGGCGGTGTCCTTCAACATTGCCTTGATGTAAACCTGCTGTGGCGGCTGCAGGCGGGTGTTGATGATGAATACTGTTAGCTAATCTACTGCCACCTTGTATGAACACAGCAGAGGAAGGCGGCACCGACTTAGCCGCCTGCTGTGTGTGAACACAGCAAGGGAAGGCGGCGCCGACTTTGCCCCCTATTTGTGATCTGAAGAGCAGCAGCTGCAGTGCAGCGGCGCCAGACGGCTCACCTGCTGCTGCAAGATCAGAGGAGCAGGCGGTGGCCTTGGCAGAGTCAGCCTGTTGTCAAAGTTATCTAGTTCTTGTGCGGCGCATGGGCGCCGCACATGGACTAGATAGTTAGAGTTGTATAAATAGACATGTATGGCAACTCAAGTAAAGAGAGCTCAGATTTGCAATCACACAGACGGGGCATCGGCCAACGCCGTTGTCTTGTATTGTGCGTGCTTGCTCTGTTCTCCTTCTTCTCCCAACTCCGTCCGTAGTGTGTGGTACGGACGCGCCGATGACGTAGTGCACGCGGCTGGGGGTGCTCGGCAACACTAGCGCGTGTGCTCGGCTGAGACCGTCAAGTGCTCCACTACTTTGGCTGCGGTGCTCGGCAAGATCGGCTAGAGTGGTTCTTTGTTGTGAGCCGGTGATCTGTGAGACCAACGGAGTGGTGCGGAGGCCATCACGGTGGTGATGCGAAGGTGCGGAGGCCATCTCGGTGGTCGGAGGCTATCTGTAGTGGTGCGGAGGCCATCTCGGTGGTCTGGAGGCTATCTGTAGTGGTCTGAAGGCCATTTCGGTGGTCTGGAGGCTATCTGTAGTGGTAGGGAGGCTAACTGTGGGCCAACAAGTGGTATCGGAGCCGTACAAGCGCCGTCGTCATTCTAACCGATGGCGATGATAAAGCGGTTCGGAGTTGGGCGACGACGGATAAGCGCTATCGTGGTACGCCCGACCACTACCGGATGTAGTTGTTCACACTGCGGTGCGAGAGGTCGTGGCACCACTTGGTCGTGTTGACTCGTACTAACTATGGAGAGTGGTCGATGACCATAAAGGTCAAGCTTCGAGCAGACGGCTTTGGAATGTTGTTGACAAGGGCACCGAGCGTGGAAGAAGACGACATGTCAACGTTGGAGGCTATCCTCGCTGCTGTACTAGCGGAGTACAGGGAGCCGTTGGGGACGAAAAGCTCGGCTAAGGAGGCGTGGGAGGCCATTGCGGCGATGCGCGTCGGTTCCGACCGCGCAAAGAAGGCGACGGCCCAGCTTCTAAAGCAGGAGTACGCAAACCTCAAGTTCAAGGATAGTGAAACGGTGGAGGGCTTCTCCCTCCACCTATAGACGCTCATCAGCAAGCTGAAGAGCCACGGCGTCACCATCGACGAAGAGGAGGCGGTCTCCAAGTTCCTCCATTCCGTGCCGGCAAAGTACATCCAGATCGCTCTCTCCATAGAGACGATGTTGGACTTGTCCACCCTCACCATTGAGGATGTGGCGCGGCCGTCTGCAAGGCGATGGACGGCGGGCAGGCGGCGGGCGGCAACGAAGGACGGCGGAAACTCCTCTCGATGGAAGAGGAGTGGGCTGCTCGGCGAAACTCCGGGAAGGTAGCCTCCTCTAGTCGCGGTGGCAAGGGCAAGCACCGAGACAGGGCTTCTTCGGAGAAGAAGCACATCGACTCCAACGCCTGTCGGTGTTGCGGGAGGATAGGCCATTGGGCACGGGAGTGCCCAAATCGCAAGAAGGAGAAGAAGGCTCAGGCTCACCTGGCGAAAGCCGATGATGAGGATGAGACCACTATCCTTATGGCGACGTTCTGTGCACTGCACGACGTCGAGGCCATGGAGAGGAAAGAGGCGACGATGGTGGAAGGACCTGGGAAGGCCCTAAAGATCGTCAACCTCGATGAACCACACGCCCAAGTCCATCTCGGGAGTGTGGGCACCGACCAAGAACAGCCGTGGTATCTGGACTCTAGTGCCAGTAACCACATGACAGGCTCCAAGGACTCCTTCTCCGAGCTCGACGGCGATGTTACCGGTACGGTGAAGTTTGGTGACGGCTCAAGGGTGGCTATCCAAGGGCGCGGCACCATCATCTTCAAATGCCAGAACGGGGAGCACCGTGCGCTAATGGATGTATACTACATCCCACAGCTGCGTTCCAGCATCATCAGCATTGGTCAGCTGGATGAGCACGGTAGCGAGGTTCTGATCAAGGACGACATTCTGAGGATCAGAGACTGGGAGCAGCGACTTCTCGCCAAGGTGAAGATGTCCCTAAATCGGTTGTACCTGCTCGACCTGAAGGTAGAGTAGCCGATTTGCCTGGCGGCAAGGCACTCCGAGGAACCGTGGATGTGGCATGCCCGGTTCAGACATCTCAGCTTCGACGCGCTTGGTCGGCTAGGGCAGATGGTCTGAGGGCTACCCCATATCAAGCACGGAGGCGCGCTGTGTGACAGCTGCCTGGCCGGGAAGCAGAGGAGGCTACCTTTCCCAAAGGCGGCCAAGTATCGTGTGAAGGAAGCTCTCGAGCTAGTTCACGGTGACCTCTATGGGTCGATCACGCCTGCTACATGCGGTGGTCGGCGGTACTTTCTCCTACTCGTGGACGATTGCAGTCGCTACATGTGGCTGTAACTCCTGATGAGCAAGGACGAAGCGGCGGTGGCGATCAAGAAGTTCAAGACGCGCGTGGAGGCCGAGAGTGGCAAGAAGCTCCACGTACTGAGGACTGATCGGGGTGGTGAATTCACTTCGGTGGAGTTTGCTACGTACTGCGTGGATCAGGGTGTGGGACAACATCACACCGCGCCGTACTCGCCACAATAGAATGGCGTGGTGGAGCAACAGAACCAGACAATGGTCGGCATGGCCCGATCCATGATGAAGGCCAAAGGGATGCCGGCAAAGTTCTGGGGAGAGGCGGTGACCACGGCGGTGTTCATCCTCAACCGCGCTCCAACCAAGGCCCTAACGGGCAAGACGCCGTTCGAAGCTTGGTACGGGAGCAAGCCGAACATGTCATTCCTCCGAACATTCGGTTGCATTGGCCACGTCAGGAAGATGAAGCCGAACCTCACCAAGCTAGAGGACAGGAGCACACCCATGGTGTTCCTAGGCTACGCGGAGGGTACCAAGGCGTTGAAAGGTCCTAATGGCTAGAGGGGGGGTGAATAGCCTAATAAAAATTTCAACAACAACACTTAACCAAATGGTTAGACAATTATGAGGCGAAGCGAGTGTTGCGCTAGCCTACTCAAAAATGCAAGCCACCTACCACAATTCTAGTTTAGATAGTGTCAATTCACACAAGAGCAATGACACTACCCTATGTTAGTGTGCTCTCAAAGGCTAACTAAAGAGCCACACCAACCAAGAATGCAAGCTCTCACAACTAGCTACACTAAAGAGCTTGTCAACTAGTTTACGGTAAAGTAAAGAGAGTGATCAAGAGGGTTATACCGCCGTGTAGATGAATGAACCAATCAATCACGAAGATGAATAACAATGATGACCAATCACCTCAGAATCAATGATGAACACAATGATTGTTACCGAGGTTCACTTGCTTACCGACAAGCTAGTCCTCGTTGTGGCGATTCACTCACTTGGAGGTTCACGCGCTGATTGGCATCACTCGCCAAACCCTCAATAGGGTGCCGCACAACCAACACAAGATGAGGATCACACAAGCCACAAGCAATTTACTAGAGTACCTTTTGGCGCCCGCCAGTGAGAAAGGTCAAGAACCCCTCACAATCACCACGATCGAGTCGGAGACAATCACCTCCTCCACTCAACGATCCTTGCTGCTCCAAGCCGTCTAGGTGGCGGCAACCACCAAGAGTAACAAAAGCGAAATCCATGGTGAAACACAATCACCAAGTGCCTCTAGATGCAATCACTCAAGCAATGCACTTGGATTCACTCCCAATCTCACTATGATGATGAATCAATGATGTAGATGAGTGGGAGGGCTTTGGCTAAGCTCACAAGGTTGCTATGTCAATGAAAATGTGCAAGAGAGCTCCCTTGAGCGGCCATGGGGCTATAAATAGAGCCCCAGTGAAATAGAGCCGTTGTACCCCTTCACTGGGCACAACGTGGGGTGACCGGACGCTCCGGTCCGATTGATGGACGCTGGCCCTCAGCGTCCGGTCACGTGATTCACGCCACGTGTCCCCCGCTTCAAATCTTGTTCGTCGATTTCAACGGTCATGAAGGTGACCGGACGCTCGATAAAGCCCGACCAACACTGAAGCCCCAGCGTCCGGTCGTTTCCAGTAAGCTCCCCGAGGCATGATTTTTCGACCGGACGCGTCCGGTCCACCTCGACCGGACGCAGCCAGCGTCCGGTGCTCAACCCCTAGCCACTATATCATTGAAG